AAAAATCAACCTAAAATCTGGCCATCTGATGCTACAAAGAAAAAAAAATCCTACAGGATCCCCAGAGTTTCATTATGAAGGTCTTCAGGTAACTTTTGAAACTGATGGGATCGAAGTGCATGCACCTGCAATCATCAGAAAGAGATTGCATCAATTCAACTTGCGTGAGAGGCTTGTTAAGAAAAAGCATTTGCTGTCCAAAAAAAAAACCTTTAGAGCCTGATTACAGATTGCCATCGAACATAAAGACAAGGCCTTCTGGAATAACCTGCTCTACCAAAGATATAGTTGTTTGCCCAAGTAATGCGGAAAGCAGCATTTCAAGAACCTCATGCCAACTGTGAAGCATGATGATGGAAATGTTAAGGTTTGATGTTGGTTTGCTGTTACAGGGCCTGAGAAACTTGCAATGATCGAGTCAACTATATATTCTGCATCATATCAAAGTGTGCTTGATAAGAATGTGATGCCAAACATTGTAGTTGAAACAGAAATGAGCTTTTCTACACAATAATGATCCACATCAGAATAGCAAATCCACCAAGGGATGGTCAAAAAGAGGAAAATAGAGGTTTATGGATTGTGGGGAGATTTTGAAATGGGCAGTGCATGCAAGGAAACCCACGAACCTTTAGCAACTGAAGAAATTTTGCATGAAAAAGTAGTCAGACATTTCAGTCAAGGGGTCAGAGACTGGTGGGCAATTATACAAAATACCAGCATTTGATGCAAAAGGTGTATTTTTTCCACAGTACACAATTACTGTACATCTATTGATATATTTTTGTTGAAAAAAAAAATAATCAAAAAGGCAAATTTTTCTTGTGTTCATGGTCTCTTTAAGCACTGGTTGAATAAAGATCTAATGTTAGCTTGTTTTAATATGTTGAAAGTCAACATTTCACATGGGCTGTACTTAATTTTCACATGGCTGTATGAAATTGTTCTGGGCTGGGGATTCAAACTTTAGACCATTGAATCAATATGAGAGTCGGGCAACTAGCATTTCAGAAGAAGTCTGATACAACTTTTTCTTTACATGTAATCTTGACCTCTGTTCAAGTATCATATTATTTGTTCACATTTCTGCGTAACTTCACTGTGTTTTCATCTAGTAAAACATTTGCTTTGAGGTCCAACGTCTATAGACAGATGGGAATTTTATCATAAATATTTTGTTCTGTTCTTTAACATTTACCCATCACTCCAATGAACTAGAGGCGCAGATGTTTTGTATGCTGTATTTCAGAAGATGCAACATTTAAGATGAATGGGATATTGTTGTGTCAATTTATGCCACAGTGCTGACACCTGATCCAAATTAATAGTTCACGTAAATATGTTTTCAGCTTTGAATATGCATTTGAACTAGAAGAGTGTTGGTGATAAATCTACTATGTGGTTTCCTGCTGTTACCCATCTCAGCTGTTCATTTTATATCCTATGTGAACACACTTAAAGCCCAAATGAACTTTCAGTTTAAATTGGCTAAATACGTTCCAGGTCCATCAAAACAAGACTTTCAAAGATGTACTATTTGTTTTCTTTACAAGCAGCCACAGCCTGACTAGAAAAGCCTGACCCCTGCCAGCATGCCACAGAGAAGAACATTTGCTTTCTTTGCTAAAATGGTGGTCTTTCTGCAAGGGTTTAACACATCCCCTTACAGGATAAGTTCACCTTTGGGAACATGTTACATGTTCCACCTGTTTTTAGGGGGGAACATGTAAGATGTTCCCATAGCTGCCACCCCCCCTTTGACAGTATGGAGAAACTTCTTCCCGTATTATCTGTCAAATTTAAAAACTGCACGGCCGTGTGGGGCTCCACCCACATGGCCACGTCACTCATTCACAAAGTTCTGTGAGTGCCTACAAGTCCCGGCTGCCTTAGTGGCTGTCGGCTTGTAGTTTTCAGTAAAGCTGTGGAGTGCCATGATAGTTCATTGAAGCTTCCTGTCAGAATATCTGCTTGCTCATAAATCCCGTACGGCAAACAAATATTCTGACAGATCTGCAGGAGGCCTGCATGGCATCAGTGATCTACTGATCAATGGTGCAATGCTTTCCAGGCTTCTGCAGACAAAAATAATAAATGCACATTTTTTAGTTAACCTGCAAAAAATGTGCGTGTATTATTTTAGTCAAAAAGGTGAACCTATCCTTCTAAGTCCCAGCTTTAGCTTTTCAATCAGCAGAGTGCATGAGATTTGCCGACTGGGGAGCTGTAGCTTAGACCCAACAAAGTCAACACCAAGTCATTTATTTATTCCAACCGTCTGAAGGACATTGAGCTAGCCTGTTGTTTTGGGATTCCTGCTTTAAGTGTTCTGTAATGTGCACTACAACAACCATGTGAAGAAAGGAACAATGCATCAAATGGTTTCCAACCCAGCAGCTTTAGTGTTGTAGTGAAAAAGGCAGATGGTGCCACTTATCCGGAATCTAGAACATAGAGCCTCACCAGCACATTATAAGCTCAAAATAGAACCATTTCATTTTATTATTTATGTATTACAGGTACTTGTATAGCGCCAACAATTTACGCAGCACTTTACATATATATTGTACATTCACATCAGTACCTGCCCTCAAGGGGTGTACAATCTAAGCTCCCTAACTCACATTTATACATACAGTTGTGCTCAATAGTTTGCGCACCCTATTAGAATCCATGAAATTGTGGCATTGATATTTAAAATATGACTGATAATGCCAAAAAAAAAAAACAGTTTTATTTAAGTGCAGTGATTAGAGATGAGCGAATCGAACCAGGCGAACCGGAATTCGAGTCGAATTTCAGGAAATATTCGATTCGCGTCGAATCCGAAATTTTGCCTACTTCAGGTGCGCGAATCGAATATTTCCCGATCAGCCGGCAAAAGTGTCCCTGCAGTGAGCTCCGCTATTTCTGACAGTTCTCTGACAGAAGGAACACATGTTTAGCGGTTGAAACATTGTATCTATTAGTTTCCATTTAGGATACAGATGTTTCAACCGCTGTACATGTGAAGAAGCTGTCAGAGACAGCTGTCAGAGTCTGCAGCGCTCCTCTAAGTGTATCCGCAGAATGTCATTTATGGAAAAAAATAGATACCATGTTTCAACCGCTGTATGGAGTGAATGTTCCATAACTGTCAGAAATAGACTATTTATGACAGTTCTGGGACATTCACTCCATACAGCGGTTGAAACATTGTATCTATTTGTTTCCATTTGTTTTCATCTCCAAGGGCATTTAAATTAAAGGTACAGTGTTCTGCACTAATTTAAAGGCTCTCTGAAGCCTAGAAACCCTTTTAATAAGTTAAATTCGTAGCGAATTAATTCGCATCGAATCAAATTTCATACTGGAATTCGCCGAATCAGCCGAATCGAATTTTTGAGAAATTCGCTCATCTCTAGCAGTGATCATATGAAGCCATTTATTATCACATAGTTGTTTGGCTCCAGGTTCATTTACCCTGGAATGTTTGGCCTTGGTACAGTCACACAAGGTGACATACACAGGTTAAAATGGCAATTAAAGGTTAATTTTTCTACATCTGTGGCTTTTAAATTGCAATTGGTGTCAGTGTATAAAATAGTTAGTGAGGTTGTTAGCTCTCACATGGATGCACTGAGCAGGCTAGATACTGAGCCATGGGGAGCAGATGATAACCCTCAAAAGACCTGTTTGACAAGGTAATGGAACTTTATAGAAATGGAAAAGGATATAAAAAGATTTCCAAAGCCTTGAGTATGCCAGTCAGTACTGTTCAATCACTTATTAAAAAGTGTAAAATTCAGGGATCTCTTGATACCAAGCCAAGGTCAGGTAGACCAAGAAAGATTGTAGCCACAATTTCCAGAAGAATTATTCAAGATACAAATAAAAACCCACAGGCAAGCTTGGCAGTAATACACACTGCTCTGGAAAAACAGTGTGGTTGTTTCAAAGAGGACAATAAGACAATACTTAAACAAAAATGAGCTGCATGGTTGATTTGCCAGAAAGAAGCCTTTACTGCTCCAATGCCACAAAAAAGCTCTGGCAGCTCCACCATGCAGCTAATTTGTGTTCAAGTATCGTTGTATTGTCCTCCTTTAAAACAACCACACCATCTTATTGTCACAATTTCTGTCTATGTAGCCAACCTGTCCTCGCTTCTCTCACCACCGGATCCAGGGAAATAAAGCTATTGACAAAGAAGTGTTTAAGCCATATTTCTGAAGTTTAATGCACTGAACAATGAGTGATATACAGAAACTCAACAGGCATTGCTTAATTAGGATAACCAACGAAACATTACACTCTTATCAGTATAGTTACGCGAGAAGCAGAAATTGCAGTAGCAGAGGGGCACCATATAAGGTGAATCAGTTTTCCAAATGAAAGCAATTCCTGAGAAACAAAACTAAAGCTGTTAAATATTCAAGATGGAGGCATTCTATAAAATGAATGCCAGTTTAATAGATATATTTCCTTACACTGTCTTTTTCCAGAGCAGCCTGTATTCTCCTGAGGTTACATTTGGGTTTTTCTTTGCATCCTGAACAATTCTTCTGGCAGTTGTGGATGCAATCTTTCTTGGTCTACCTGACCTTGGCTTGGTTTCAAGAGATCCCTGAATTTCCCACTTCTTAATAAGTAATTGAACAATACTGACTGGCATATTCAAGGCTTTGTATACCCTTTTAAATACAAGGTTTTTTTTAAGAGCTTGTCTTTTAAGTGCCATCATATCTACTACCGTTTAAATCATAATCTTACTACTGTAGGTCACCATGCTGTTTCAGCAATGTTTCCCTAAATGAAGAGCAGCAAAATAATTCAATCTGTTTGCAATAATTTTTCAGTAAATGTATACACTGAAAGGTCAGACTGGTAGAGTCCATGTAAAAATGCTGTCATGGCTACTTGTCACAGTATGTCTTTAGCCCGCTGTTGGTAACATGCCCGTTTCCTGTTGGGTGTATTCGAGTTGTGTGTTCTGATCAGGCTGTTTTCTCTTCCATCAGGTAACAACAGATCTAAGACAGAAGTGTACAGACTCTCACACAGGAACATCTGCATCTGCTCCATTGGCTGCTGGAATTATCGCTCTGGCTTTGGAAGCAAAGTATGTATTTTATGTTTTACATGCTTGTGGTAAACATTGTGACCTTTAGATGCTAGACTGATTATGAACACACAGATGTGAATGGTCTGGATAAAAGCTGAATGTAATGGGCAAAAGGTCTGGATGAGATCTGAATGTGATGGGCTTAAGGTCTGGATGAGATCTGAATGTGATGGGTGAACAAGGTCTGGATGAGATCTGAGAATGTGATGGGTGAAAGGTCTGGATGAGATCTGAATGTGATGGGTGAAAGGTCTGAATGAGATCTGAATGTGATGGGTAAAAGGTCTGGATGAGATCTGAATGTGATGGGTGAAAGGTCTGGATGAGATCTGAATGTGATGGGTGAAAGGTCTGGATGAGATCTGAATGTGATGGGGGTGAAAGGTCTGGATGGAAGCTGAATGTGATGGGTGAAAGGTCTGGATGGAAGCTGAATGTGATGGGCTTAAGGTCTGGATGAGATCTGAATGTGATGGGTGAACAGTCTGGGATGAGATCTGAATGTGATGGGTGAAAGGTCTGGATGAGATCTGAATGTGATGGGTGAAAGGTCTGGATGAGATCTGAATGTGATGGGTGAAAGGTCTGGATGGAAGCTGAATGTGATGGGTGAAAGGTCTGGATGGAAGCTGAATGTGATGGGCTTAAGGTCTGGATGAGATCTGAATGTGATGGGTGAACGGTCTGGATGAGATCTGAATGTGATGGGTGAAAGGTCTGGATGAGATCTGAATGTGATGGGTGAAAGGTCTGGATGAGATCTGAATGTGATGGGTGAAAGGTCTGGATGAGATCTGAATGTGATGGGTGAAAGGTCTGGATGGGTGAGATCTGAATGTGATGGGTGAAAGGTCTGGATGGAAGCTGAATGTGATGGGTCATTTTTTTCTGATCAGCCAGCAGGCCGATTGGAGACAAACAGATTCCTCCATCCACACAATCTTCCCTGCTGTGCTACTGTATTCTGACATTGGGACTGTCAGAATACACTAATCAGCGCTGCAGCGGCTGATCAAGAAGTTTACCGACATTCCCGATCGAACAATTGAGTTCTGTTGAACAAGAATAGCCATACATAGATCGAAATTCAGCCAGTCCCTGCTGGACCCGGATATTTTCAGTCAATATATGGCCAGCTTTAGGCTTATTAGATTAGACAGAAGTGAAAGGGCTGAAAATAGGTTAGGCTGTATATCAGGTTAGGTTCTTATCCTTTTATGCTGGTTAGGCATAATAATAAGCGCAAACATCATTTAAAGTGCATCTACAATGCAAACACATAGTTGGGAACATTCTTCCAGCTTGAAAAGGTAAAATGTACCAGCATCATTATAATAGTAATAAGTTGTCATATACCACAAACTCCTCCTCTAAAGGGATCTATCATGAATGTTGCTGTATTGGCTTTTGTGCATCTTCTGTATAGGGTTGGGGGAACCTTCTGGCAGAGACTCAATCCGTGATCTCCTTGTTGCCTATCTGTAGCAAGCTGGCTATCCGTCTAGGAGAAACATTCATATTGTGTGGATTTGGGATCTATGCTCCCTTCATCAACACATATTGAATGTTCACTAACCTTTCAAATAGTGGATGATTTGTTTTTAATTGCCTTTTTTATAGAGTGGCCTGCACGGCCAGATGACAACCAAAGCAGCAGATCGAAACATCACATAAGATCCCCGTTGCTTCAGATACCTGTAATTTATATAAGGAAACTGGTATAGAGACAAATCTGTGCACTGATATCTTTCAGCCTTTCCTTTTAAACATTGCTAGTTGCCTAGCTATCAAGCTGATCCAACAGCTTCAGTACTTTGATCAATGCCCTGGAACAAGTATACAGGTCAAGAGTTCTGATTCCAACTGCCATTTGCAGATTGCACTTGCTTTGAGTCAAGTCTGATACTCACAGCATTGAAGCTGGTGAAAGCCATGCAATCAGCATTTTAAGGAAGAAGTCAGCAATGACAGCATCACTATTTCTCTCAGTGCAGGTTTCCCTTAAACACACCATAGCTTAAGAAAAAAGCTAATATATAATCAGTGCACTTGCAAGTTTGTAATTTAATGTCAATAAAAATTACATTTTGCTTTCAATCTGCAGCCACTGTAATTTTCTAAACCTCAATTAAATGCATTATGGCAACTTGGAGATGTTCTGTAAACCATCGGCATCCAGAATCCCTGCTGAAATACATTTTCTGGTTGTATTGTTGGTTCACTGCTGTTCTCAGAAGTCTGCTTAAAGATATGTCACATTTTTGACATTCCCTAAATTCTCTAGAACAGCCTTTCTCAACCAGGATTCCTCCAGAGGTTGCCAGGGGTTCCTTGAGCAATAGGCAATTCTTGTTTCTCAGATCAGTAACCACTGACACCGAAGATCTTTTTAGCGATGTGTAAGGGAGAATTTTTTCTGAATGACCACCAATGTAAGTAACTTTCTTCCCGGTGACCATCATGCCAATATACTGTGAGCTATAGATATAGTAGTTTTAGTAGGGGTTCCCTGAGCCTGGAAAGTTGTTTCAAATGTTCCAGGTTAAAAAGGTTGAGATTGGCTTCTCTTGAATATAATGGTCTTACAACCGCCTAAACACTTAATTACCACATAAGTGCAAATATTTTACATCTTAAATTGATAAAGACCATATTTTGCCATCAAGAACCCAAAATACAAGGCGATTTTTAGGAAATGTTCACACATTTTTTGGGAAAGGGTACTCTTTCATGGTTTGGTGTCAGTAATGTCCCTGTTGGCTTTATTTGGGCAGTGAGGTGCTTTGCCTGCTTTCTTTCCTGTATCAGAACAATTGCATAGTGACATTATTTTTATACCAAATATATATATTGTGTTATTTTCTGAGGTCTTATTGACGTGATGAGATTTTGGTACAACTGGGTCAAAACTGTTCAAATGTTATGCCCTTGCCTCCATTGATGACCAGCTGAGTGATAAAAATGGGAAAATAGCCCTTTCTGTGATATTAATTGGAAGGGTAGACTGGCTTTCCATTACACTTCCCACCCTGGGAAATATTTATGAAAAATCAAGACTCCCTGGTTGCTTTGAGGAAATTTATTTTATATGCCACAGAATTGTTACAGATGTGCGAATCTGAACCGAATACTATATTTTCAGGAAAAAAAATAGGATTCTATTGTGAGAGCATCACGTTCTTTTTCCTTTTTATTTCAGTAATAATCTCACCTGGAGGGATATGCAGCATCTAGTTGTACGAACATCAAACCCAGCCCATCTTAACACAAATGATTGGGCCACAAATGGAGTTGGGCGGAAAGGTAATCAGAACACATCTAGATCAAAGTTTCTCAACTGTACTATAGTAAGCCTTCTTTAACAAAAATATGTTAATTTTCAAAGTGGAAGTTAAGGCTAATATAAATCCGGTTAAAAATGTTGCTTCCCCACTACTCATGCTCATGCTGCATATTGTTTGTAAAAGAGTTCCGTGTAAAGACCTTCTTATCAGCTTTGGTGCATCAACGTGATCTCTAGGTTTCAGCAAGCGGCTGCTGCAGCAGATGGGAAGGAGTGCCGACAACAAGAGGGCAATAAAAGCTGGTCAGTGATGTCATGGCTCCAGGAATTCAACCCCAATTACTGACAAGTCACTGAAACGGGGAGCTGAATCTTAGCAATCACATGACCACACTGAAGATGATTATAAAAAAATATATTTACACTGAAGTATTTTTATAAACAGTATGCAATATAGATATGGTGGGGGGAGCAACAATTTTAAATTTTATTAGGCTTGACTTCAAGTGCAACTACCCATAAACAATCAGAATTTGTTGTATTGGTCTTTTTTTTTTCTTTTTTTTTTTTTCTTCTTTAGCAAAGTTGGTTTCAGTTGGGCTACCACCTAAGGAAGTATTCCAGGTATGGATATTTTTGCATAGTTCTATTGGTCCAGCTTGGATCAATGTAGCTATGCATATGCCATACTGGTGAGATCCCACTAGAAGCTGGAAATCACTGTAGTAGACACTGGTACTACAATAGTCTCCACTTGCTTCGGGGTCTGGTGCTGGGTGGCTTCCCTGCTGCATTGTGAAAACAGGCGGTCACCCACTTGGCATGAGCACCATTCAGAGGTGGCTTTGCATTTTCGTAATGAATGCAAAGCAATCTCCGATTGAAACGGTGGAGGGGCTGAGTGGTGATGTCATGCTCTCCACCTTGTTCAATCAAAGAGTGCTTTTCCATTCATTGAGAAAATGCAGAACATTCTCTGAATTGTGCCTGTGCCCAACTGCCAACCTTCTGTGTTCACAATGCAGTATCGCAGCCACTTTGCACATAACCCGAAAGCTCATGGAGATCATTGTAGTAACCGTGCCTTTTACAGTGATTTCCAGCTTCTAGCAGACTCCCACAGGTATGATATATACTGTACATAGTTACATTTGTCCAAGCTAAATCAATGTAACTATGTAAAATATTGATGCCTGGAATTCTTCTTTAAGAATAGGCACTTCTAAAAGTACTACTTAGTGAATAAAGTCAAATATATTTGTATGTTAGATTTTTGGCATGGGTTTATTTTATATTATTTCAAGTAATCCTAAAAGCAAGTATACACACACACACACACACACATATACACTGTCAAACCACCCAAAAAAATAATACACACCCAGGCAATAGGCATTTATAAATAGACTTGAATACAATTAACTCACTAATTATGCATATTCTGTATATTGTAGTTAGCCATTCATATGGATATGGACTACTGGATGCTGGGGCCATGGTGACTCTGGCCAAAAATTGGACCACTGTGGGACCTCAGAGAAAATGTGTCATTGATATTCTCACGGAGCCAAAGTGAGTAAACGAAACTCAGTCTCTTCTTTTGAAGTCAGCTGTTAATATTGTAAAAGTAACACCAGAGTACAAAGAGAAAACAGACGTTCATGGGAATGTATGCTGAGAAAAGGTAATAGAAAGATTCAACAAGGGAGACCTTCACCATGCTGGAAACATCAATGTCAAACTGCTGGTCAACTTGACCCAAGTTTCTTAATCATGAGGGTGTAAAGTGCTAGTCAACATAAAATGCTGCATATAAAGATAAATCCTTTGTACTGTTAATGATTCTGCTTTAAAGTGGTTTTGTGGATTATTTCATGATTAGTCAATTCCAGAACTTGACAACTGGAGGATGCAAGTAAAGATGTGTTACTTTATTTCTTTTGATGAAACTCTACTCCGTCCTTTCTCAACCAGGGTGCCATAGAACTCTAGAATTACACCAAAGAATGTTAGGGGCTTACTTGAGGAATTATCAGTTTCTTCCTCTCAGACTGACTCCAATTATCTTTTTATCTACCTGCAAGGGGAATTCTTCCTAATGATCACAAATGTAAGGAATGTTTTACCTAATGACCATTATACTAAAGTACCGTGAGTTGTAGACATAGTAATTATTAGCAGGGGTTCCATTCCATTTTACAAAGGTTGTGAGAGGCTGCTCTACACCATGTATCAAAGTCTGGTATAAGAAATGTTTTGACCCATAGTAGCTAATTCCCTTCAAACCTTGTATAGATAATGCATTGGGGAATAAAAGGGAGAACCAATTTGATGACTGGAAGAACACAGACAGTTTTTTCATTTCATTCTCTTTAATAGGTAAGACCAGATGTGTCGAGATAGGACTGTATTTATATCTGAAGTATGTATGTTCTACATCAATCGTCACAAAAATACTGTCTCAACTTATGAAGGGAATAATACTTCTTTCCCAGAAACCCTTCTTTTAGCAAGCGCTTATCAGTATGCATGGAATCTCAAACACCGGGCTCAGTGGCAGTTACACATTCTGCACCAGGCTGTGTTTTTTAGGAATGGCACTTATAATTTACAACGCACATTGAAAGATGAATTGTCCGATGAATTGAAGTGGAATTTATTGTGAGCCATGGAACCGTGCCTGTAACCGCAAGCATTTATGAGATAAATGTGTCGTCTCGTGCATCTCAGTGAGCCAGCACATTTGGTGTGGGCCTACACAACTTTGATCCAAATTGCACAGTAGTCTTGTTCATGAACGCTGGCCTCTATTTTATGGGGTCAGCACAATCTCCGTGTGATGGGTTTGTGAGTCATTTTCCTCATGCTGCGCTGCACACTATACCTTAATTACTGCAGCCTCTGATAGAACCAATGTACTGGGAGCTGGATGGAGGTGTGTCACTGCTAGCAGCGTGATTGTAAGTATTGAGCTTTGTTCTGATTGCACGCAAGCTATCCCACCAATTAGGGGTAAATGGCAGGTTATCAATTATAATAAATTGTCTGCAAGCTCTACTATTGCGATCGAGGACTTGGCTAGAGTTTCCAGTCCTATTAAATGGAAACTACTTCTATTGTGTTGTGAAATTTTTGTTCAAAATCTTTATCAACAAAATAACTTGCCCCGGAACTTACTAAAAGCAGATGTAACCCTAAACCCCAACAAGGGGCAACTTAAAAATGATCACTGTGACCGCACTGCAAGGGTTAATAGCTCGTTTTATTCAGCGGAGAGGAGAAATGTTTTACTTTCCTGATCCTCCGCTCCCCTGCGATCCGGTGGTGGACTGTGCCTCAGCACCAGGCTGTGAACCCTGCTTTGGTCTTGATGGCATCAGGATCCTAAACTTGGTGGAGCAAAGAGGTGCAGACGCTTCAGGGAAGATTGGATAAGTAAATCTTCTTTACTCTCTAAATGGATAATTATCGCCCCACTGCAAGGGGTAATTTTTTTTTTTTTTTTTTTTTTTAAACAAATTATTTTCCAGTAAGAAAACACACGCCAACTTGGGGGGGTCACTAGAAACACAGAAAATAGAAGGTACATCAGTACAGAAGAAAAGCTTTGGTATAGCTATTCCAGTAGAGGTACACACAGGTGGATCGTAAAACCCAACCACTCTTTCCTAAGTACGTAAGACAGTTAAGAGATTGTCACTCCAGAGTACCCCTCTAATAACTAAGGTTACCAGTCCTTAATAGGCGCGTTGCAGGTACCTCCAAGAGGAAGATAAATAAGAGAAGAAAACGGGGAAAGGAAAAAGTAAAGGAATATAAAGCGCATAGAGGGTAAAGGAAAAGTAAGGGTCCCAACTGGGAAATTGTCCTAGTTGTCAACACCATGGACTAGGTACTGTGTGATAGAAAAAGGGTTGAAGTTTGGATGATGTAGAGAAGCCGATCCAGAATACCATAGGCCAGAAATTTTGGATACATTTCATGGAATCTAGTTCAAAGGGTAATTTTTTAGTTTACTAGATTTGGGCTTTAACTAAATACTATTTAGTTTGTTTAAAGCACTGGGTATTCTATACAACTGCCATTTAAAAAAAAAAAATTCTTGTTTTCAACTTTTGTTTCATCCTGTGTTGCATCTTAGTGCTGCTGCTCTCCTGCAGCTGCTTTGCAGCCCCTTTCTGTCTACATACAGTGAAGGAAATAAGTATTTTATCCCATTCTGATTTTGAATGTTTGGCCACTCACAAAGAAATGATCAGTCTAAAAATTGATTGGTAGGCGTATTGCAACACTGAGAGACAGAATAGCAACTCAAAATTCAAAAGAAATGCATGTCTAACAAATTATGCTCTGATTTGCATGTTCATGAGGGAAATAAGTATTTGATCCCCTATCATTCAGCAGGATTTCTGGCTACCAGGTGTCTTTCATACAGGTAACAAGCTGAGATTAGAAGCAGTCTCTTAAAGGGAGTGCTGCTAATCTCATTTTGTTACCTGTATAAAAGACACCTGTCCACAGGAGCAATCAAACAATCAGATTCCAAACTGTCCACCATGGCAAAGACCAAAGAACTGTCCAAGGATGTCAGGGACAAGATTGTAGACCTACACAAGGCTGGACTGGGCTACCAAACTATCGCCAAGCAGCTTGGTGAGAAGGTGACAACAGTTGGTGCAATCATTCGCAAATGGAAGAAACATAAAACAACTGTCAGTCTCCCTAGGTCTGGTGCACCATGCAAGATCTCACCTCGTGGAGTGTCAATGATCATGAGAACAGTGAGGAATCATCCCAGAACTACACGTGAGGATCTTGTCAATGATCTCCAGGCAGCTGGGACCACAGTCACCAAGAAAACAATTGGTAACACACTACGCCGACAAGGATTGAAATCCTGCAGTGCCCTGCAAGGTCCTTCTGCTCAAGAAAGCACATGTCCAGGCCCTGTCTGAAGTTTGCCACTAAACATCTGAATGATGCAGATGAGGACTGGTTGAAAGTGTTGTGGTCAGATGAGACCAAAATCGAGCTCTTTGGCATCAACTCAACTCGCCGTGTTTGAAGGAGGAGTGCTGCCTATGACCCAAACATTCAAAATCAGCAGGAGATCAAATACTTATTTTCTTCACTGTACATACACTCAAGGGATGGCTGATGGCATTTCTCAGGGCTGGTTTTCTGATGGTTGTAATGGAGGACCGTGCCTGCAATGTGCATTGTAGTCTCCATGTGACAGGGAAAATGCAAAAGAGCAGTTAGGAGACAGGGAGAGAGCGTGTCACCTTATAAACAGAAGTCCCTGACCTAGGCCCCTATGACAGAATTATCATTACTTTTAGTCTTCCTCTTCAGAATTAAAACGTTAAAAATGACAATGTAAAACTGAAGGCAGTCCTTTTCTTTAGTTTTGGATAGAGTGAAGAGGGATTAAACCCCCCCCCCCCCCCCCCCCCCCCCCCCCCATTTATTCAATTTATTGTTATCACTGAAAGTGAAAGAAATTCCAAAATGTTAGGTTGTCCCCAGAACCATATTAAAGGTGGTGGGGTGGGGGGTAGCAGGGTAGACTCCCATCTTTCAACAGGGATACTAGTTGTGGTAATGACCAGGGATTTCCTCTTACTTCCTGTTTGACTATGGGACAGGAAGTGAAGGGAAATCTCCCCAATGAGACACAGATGGCTAAAAACAGGAGTTATAATCCTCCCTTACTCTATCCAAAATTAAAAAAGAAGTTTCCCCTTTTGATGTTACAATTTACATGTACTTTCTGAAGCTTATATGCCTAGAAAATGGTATAAGCCATATTGTTCTCATGCAAAGCAACACAAATGCCCACTGTGTACTTGTGTGTACTACCTCATTCTCTACAGTGAAACCGGATAGGCATTTGGTGAGCATTGTAAAGCTTGAAAACCGCTCATCCAAAGGCCTTTTCCCTAAAGCCCATGTAAATTAGGCCTGATCGGAGTACATGGCACTGCTAATTTGCATCTACCCTTTTAAACCAGCACTTAATGGTGCCATCAAACCATGGCAATACATAGCGCTGAGCAAGTGAACAAGACTTCCATTCTTCAGAGTTTCCCAGAAAAGTTTATAATTTTGTCTTTGCAGAGCACATGTAAACGGATACAGCTCCTGGTGCTGCTCCTCACTAACACATAAATGCTCAGTTAGTGTTGGGAACAGACTGTGTATTACCTGGATTTGGCTCTTTGGGGGATTTAGACACACAAACCATTCACACCTCACTGGGTCGGAGCCAAAGGCTCAATGAGGCTTCTGTCCAACTGAGCATGAATGGAGCCCTGCAGAGGAAAACAGCTGCAGCTCCATCTCTTACTCTGCTTGTGGCTTAGGGTTCAGCAAACTGGTAAAAATTAATTTTTACAAATCTTTATTTTATGTATCTCATCTGCTGTTTGAGTTGCATGCAATGGACATCTCTGCTTTCTGGAGGACTGTCCCATCTTGTCCCATGTGTAACATCATGGGGTGTCCAAGATAGTTGTGAAGGGTTATTTAGCCCTAAAAATGAAGGTCATTTTTCCTGCTTATTAAATATACTCA